GGATGGCAGCCTTGTGGTATGTTGTCACAGAAGTTAAGAAATTTGATTTGTATTGCCAAATAACTATCAAGTTGATTGAGCAATTTTAATACCTTGCGCAGCACACAAGTAAACATACATCTTCACTTACTGGTTTAACTCAAGTTGTTCTCACTATGTTTACAATGCTCAGGTATGTGCGAGATCTCTGAAAAACACTCAGAATGGTCCAACCATGCCTCCAGTGCAGCACTTTGTCAGAGCAGAAATGCTGCCTAGTGGATACCTTATACGGCCCTGTGAAGGGGGTGGCTCGATTATACATATCGTTGATCATATGGATTTAGAGGTTAGAAAGTTATATGTCAAGTGTAATGGGATAATCTTCTTTAATTCATTCTTGTTCTGATACATCTGTTAAATGAATTATAACTCTTACATTTGTTTCATCAACTAGCCTTGTAGTGTGCCTGAAGTCCTGCGCCCATTGTATGAATCATCTGCTGTTCTTGCTCAAAAGATGACAATGGCGGTAAGATTACTATATATGGTGGATATTTTGACATTGTTTGTAGGGGTCAAAACTAACAAAGCTGCATGGTAATCTGTTGCACAAGCATGCTATGAAGGTCAAAGAGGAGAGGTTAAGTTTTAATTAGTCTTTCTTACTTTGGTTCAGGCTTTACGTCAGCTGAGACAGATAGCGCATGAGGTTTCTCAATCTAATGTCACAGGTTGGGGAAGACGACCTGCAGCTCTACGAGCATTAAGCCAGAGGCTTAGCAGGTTAGTATATTTTGGTGGTTTTAGTAAATATCTTTCAGTCAGAGAAGGGTTCTTTGTTTCTTGGAAGCTAATGGAGTTTTCTGCCAGGGGTTTTAATGATGCACTTAATGGATTTACCGATGAGGGGTGGTCCATGATGGGAAATGATGGCATGGATGATGTTACTATCCTCATAAACTCGTCTCCTGACAAGTTGATGGGCTTAAACCTGTCCTTTGGTAATGGATTCCCAGCTGTCAGTAATTCTGTCTTATGTGCTAAAGCATCCATGCTGTTACAGGTCAGGGTGCTTTCCATCTTTCATTTCAATCAACTGGAGATTAGCAATAAAACACTAAGATATGGATGCATGTTATTTTTGTAAATTATGTACGTGGTAAACTTTCAAATGGACAATAACTCAAAAATTTCATGTCGAGCCTATCTTCTAACCTTTCCTGGTTTGCTGTGTACTATTTTCTTCCAGAATGTGCCCCCTGCTATCCTTCTTCGGTTCCTGCGCGAGCACAGATCAGAATGGGCAGACAACAATATTGATGCTTACTCAGCTGCAGCTGTTAAAGTCGGTCCTTGCAGCTTAGCTGGGTCTCGAGTTGGTAGTTTTGGAGGTCAAGTTATACTCCCTCTGGCTCACACTCTTGAGCATGAAGAGGTAAGCCAGTTTGTATCAAGGAACTTACGGCATTTAAAATGTCTTCTTTTACAATGGTAATACACTGCTTCAATTGTTCTTTTCATTGTTTAATATGTTTCTTTTCTGTGCTTATTAGTTCTTGGAAGTCATTAAATTGGAAGGCGTAGGCCATTCTCCTGAAGATGCAATGATGCCGAGAGAAATGTTTCTCTTGCAAGTAAGCATCAGTTATTCTTGTTGTGTTAATGATGGTACTTATTATTCATGAGAATGCTTGTCTAGCGTTGGTGTCTCGTAGCTTAACTGGTACTGTCAAAGCCTAATAAGATAAACAAATACTTAATCTGAATTGATTTCCTTCTTGAAAATAATAGGCGTGTCCTGTGCGGGAATGTTAGGGATCATGTTCGTTTATGATTCCTTTATTTATTTTCTTTTTTAATCTTAAACATGTTCGGTGCCTTTCAAAATATCCTATGAATCTGTAATAAAGTATTATCGGGAAAGAAAGACATGAGAATTTGCGATTTTGTTTTTTTATTTTGTTTTGGAGAGATGGTGAGTTCTTAAATTACCAAGGGAAATTCAGAAAACATGGGCAAAACGATATGGATAAGAAGTAATATCCAGTTTCTATTCAATTTCTTTTATCGTCTTGAATATTCATTTTATTCAATGTTTATTTTCTGACTGACTTGTTATTCTGTTTAAATTCCATGGCTGTGTTTTTTAATAGCTATGCAGTGGAATGGACGAGAATGCTGTGGGTTCCTGTGCTGAACTCATTTTTGCTCCCATTGATGCTTCTTTTGCTGATGATGCACCCCTTCTACCTTCTGGGTTTCGCATCATTCCTCTTGATTATGGGAAGGTTAGCCTCTAAACTAAATCCCATTCCCAAGTGATGTTATAGGAAAGAATTTATACCACACTATGTCTTTAAAGGAAATGTTCATTAGTGCGCTGAAAAACGTTTCAGGAAGCTTCCAGTCCAAATCGCACCTTGGACCTTGCGTCTGCACTTGAAATTGGGCCAACTGGAAATAAAGGATCCAGTGAATATTCTGCAAGTGCTGGTTGTGTGAGATCTGTCATGACTATAGCATTTGAATTTGCCTGTGAGACCCACATGCAAGAGCATGTAGCATCCATGGCCCGACAATATGTTCGCAGCATTATATCTTCAGTTCAGAGGGTGGCATTAGCTCTCTCTCCTTCAAATTTGAGTTCACAGGCTGGTCTTCGGTCACCACTTGGTACTCCTGAAGCGCAAACACTTGCTCGTTGGATCTGCAACAGTTACAGGTCTTGTAACTCTTTCTCTCTCTCTCTCTCTCCCTCTCTCCCCTTCATTTTATTTGGACCGAGATATATGGTGCACTGTGCAACATTTAAAAATGGGTTCTTCCCTACACAGCCGCGCCATATTGTTATATATTCTTTCTTCTGTTGCAATGAATGTTACAAGTTGTAATAAGAAACTTTGATCAGTGTAACCATGTGATGATCATATAGGTGGCTTAGCTGCTAATACTATTGATATTGCAGGTGCTATCTGGGTGTGGAGCTGCTCAAATCGGGCAATGAAGGAAGTGAATCCATCCTCAAATCTTTGTGGCATCACTCCGATGCAATTATGTGCTGCTCTCTGAAGGTGAGCATATTACTCTCAACCTTGAAAAAAAACCCAATACAACATTTAATGAACGTGCGTCGTTCTTTGAGTTACTCTCTTGCCTACTTATCTTAAGCAAATATACTATGGAACTCCAATTTTTCAGGCATTGCCAGTTTTCACCTTTGCAAACCAGGCAGGGCTTGACATGCTGGAGACCACCTTGGTTGCGCTGCAAGACATAACTTTGGAGAAGATATTTGATGACCATGGACGAAAGACTCTGTGCTCGGAATTCCCCCAAATAATGCAACAGGTGTAGTAAAACATCTCTGAATTGTATAAATGTTTTTTTCATGTCATTTTTACCTAACGCGCTAAAGATGAGGTATGGTTCAACATCATGAGAGATTTTTCAATGTGACCAGAATACGGAGTGGTTCATCATGTCTCACTGTACAAATATTGGGATATGTGTGTTAAAAACTTAATAACTTAAAAAATACAATTTCCCATCACTTATATAAAAACACGTGTACCATCCGTGTTTCGGTTACAATGAAAAATTTCTCCAACATCACAAATTCCTGTTGGAATCCATGTAGATCGAATTGCTAAAACACGATAACCAATAGAGTTGTAAACTTTGTATTGATTTCTTCGTGCTATTTTTGTAGGGTTTCACTTGTCTTCAAGGTGGCATCTGTCTTTCGAGCATGGGGCGACCAGTGTCATATGAGAGAGCAGTGGCGTGGAAGGTGTTGAACGAAGAGGAGACGGCTCACTGCATGTGTTTCTTGTTTGTAAACTGGTCTTTCGTCTGATATCAGGACCAGGTCACTAAAGACTAGAAGATATAATGTAATAGGCTTGAAAAGAGGAGACTTTGAACCTTTCATGTTTAAACCAACTCTTCTGTCCTTTTGGTGTGATTAAAAATGTTGTATGGATGTTAAGACTTAAGTTGTGTTAGCTTGTTGCGTACCCTATAATTGCTTTGGATCTGTCCTGTTTTACAGTTTTTATTTTTCGGGTGGTTTTGGATGGAAAGATTGCAAGGGGAACCCTAGACTCGAGTCCGGCTCAAGGTTGTGAGTATGCCTGTGTGGTGAGAGTAACTAATCTTTGGTACATTTTCAGGACCAAAACCTAGACTGGAGACCCTTTGTTTACACATCATTTGTTTATATGGAGTGTTGGATTTAGGCGTGTTAATATTAACCTCCCACAAAAAAAGGAGGATTGCATGCTAATGTTATCCACCAATATTGGTAAGTTGGGAAAGAAAAATGAGGATTGCGCGATGATTAGGATGGTCGTACTTTCACATTTTAAAAGTCAACTTTTTAAAAATTTAATTAAATAAAAATTGTTTAACAGTTATCACAATTTTAGTGTTTAATTGAATAACTATTTTGGTGTTGGCCACCTGAAATAACCCTACATATTTTTCTCGTTAGATTTTAAAAAGTTATCATAAATAAAAAAAAAAAAACTATTATTATTAAGACCTCAATTTCTGATATTTGGTTCGTCCATCGTTCATTGTACATCATCTAATTCAGTTACAACAATGGAGGATGGGGTGCCATTCTCGTTGATGTGTATGCTCGTAAGGTACTTCATCAAATTTGTTCTCATCATCTCTTTTAAAGTATTACTTATAGTTATGTGGCAAGACTTGATTTGTTGGTCTTTAGGTCTTAGCAGATCATTTTACATAAGGATAAATTTATCATTCCCAAGTAGGTGAGAAAATAAGACAATGAGGTGGCCTTAAAAATAAGTATGGGTTTGCAAAAAGAGAAAAGTGATGCTGGAAATCATTTTCCTATAACATACCTTTTTTTACCTTCCACACATTATTGTTAAGTTTTATCCATTGATCTTCAATTCATTTAGTCCGATAGACGAAAATTGAGAGGGATGTGTGAAAAATAAAAATGTGCGGATAACATAACCCTATAAAAATATTAAAATTTCAAAACTTACAAAATGATACTAATTACAGCAAAAAAGTTTCACAAGTGATCAATGGAACCGCTTACATTCAAACTAATCTTGTTGAGGCAATGAAAACTGTACAACTCAAACCATAGTAGCTAGAAGAATACAACACACGAAATTATTAATGAAAACCGCACGCGCGCGCACATATATGGTTCCGATACATATATCTGGACTGAAAATTACATATATCAAAGACTTGAGGTTGGATTCAAAGTGAGGATCGAAAAGGTAGTAGCTCTTCACAAAAAATAACAACTAAGCCTTCTTATTTATACTCAAATAGCAAATAAGCATGTTCGGTTAAAGAAAAAGAAAAATGAAACCGTGGAGGAAAAGGGCAGTGATGGAGCATTTAGTACTAATTAATTAACCCCAAAACCCCGTAGGTTAGCATAAGTACGTGTATGGTGTGAAGTGAAAAATATATGACCAGCGAAAGAAAACCCTAGAGGGTGACTGCAAGAGGGAGCATTGGAAAGCCCAAGGATAGCTAGGAAGGATTGGACTAACCCAAAAACCAACAGAAGGAGAAGGTCGGTCCATTAAATAAGTTTATTTAGAAGAAATTTATAGTACTAGTTAATGATTAGCGTATAAAAAAGAGGAGAGCAGGTTGACAAATACAAAACCATGTCCTCCAGATCATGATCAGATATTATATGCCTTAGCTAGCCTTTTAGAAACTCATCATCAAGCCATGGTGAGATCGTTCATCTCCCTCGTGATCGCCGGAATGCAGCTTGAACTCCGAGTAATCTTCCCCTTTGGCTCTCCTTTGTCTCTCGGATTAAACGACTTAGCCCTCATGACTCTCCCCTCCAACTTGCTCTTCTTCAACATCTCCCTCATAGCCTCAGCTTGAAACAACACTGGATACGCCCTACTATACTTGTTAAACCTAACACATGCACTTATATGTGAATTTAAAGCCTCTTCTTTATTTCCTCCATTTTTCTCCACCTCTTCTTTCACTGCCTCAGAACACAACCCGCATATCCACTTCCCAAAGAACTTATCTCTCACTCGGTCTATGTACTCGGGCGTGCACTCTTCACTCATGCCACAGCATTCACACTTTGCATCTTCAACCTCCGATATTGGCGGGAGGGATTTCAGGTCCTGATCAATGTTGGCTTCTTTGCTTAGCTCATACGAGATGTCGGACATCGTTCTTTTCAGGCTATCGGATGAGAATGAAGGCCTTGGTGGTTTAGACATGGAGGTGTAGTTGGCCCTAGAGTAGTTAGAGCCAGAAATAGACTCTCCATGAGGTGCCATGTTTGAAAATTTGGAAAATACAAAAAACCCTAACGTAGGACTCAAGCTAATTGGATTGAGTGACAATGGGAAGCAAGAGTTAATTAACTTGGCCAAACTCTGAAGATTGTCGGATGGTAGTAGAAGGAGGTCTATAGTAAGCCTATTTATAGTGATCACTTCGGCCTTTACTGGAAATCTACAGCCATTATTTATTTGAATGGATCTTGTTCATTCATATGTCACTTATCAACGGAAGGGCTGAATAGTTTCGTGACCGTGCTAGATTTTTCAAGAAAGTTTTGAAAGAAAATGAAATATGTTTTGCTTTTTAGGTTTGAATAAATGCCAGCTGAAATTTGCTACACAACTTTTCATGGGGTTTCTAAAAATTTTCCCAATTGATCATGTGGAGGAGGATGTTTTAGCTTCATGAAACGGTCTTACATCTATTTTTCTTTTGAAGGATATAATATGAAAGGCCATGGCACATCCTATATCCCATGACTATATATGTTTTGTTATTCAAGATCTCAATTAATAAAAGAAATATTAAACATTTACTAATTAAGTGTGAGTGCCATACGTTAATCTTTTGTTTTGTCATAAAAAAAAATATAAATTCACATTTAAACTATCTTTACTTGATAAAATCAAAGTTATGTATCTCAGAGTTTGAAAGCATTATTATATATCAAAGTAATAGCAACAGAAAGTATAAAAACTATATGCTTTATGTGTAAAACTAGAGCAAAACACCGATGAATTGATGGGAAACACGCATCAAATTAACATGAACATGAAAAGAAACTCATATTGACCTTTTATAATTTGATAACTTCCATTATATATTTACATGTTATTTCTTCTGAAAAAGAAAAAAGTGAGACGTATGCAGCCTTTTTATGATGTACAAAAAGGTTCTAAAAGAGAGAAGCATTGTTTGGTTTCTGGCTTGAAAACCATTGTCCTTCGCTTTCAACAATTATTTTGTCCTTGTAAAAAAGCTGAAAGTTGCATATTCACGAGTGAGCCTACTCAAACCGTATACACATCACGTATGGTCCCTTTATCTTCAACTATACTAGCAGCATACAAGGCCAACAGGAAAGAAAGTGACTGCCTTGCTCACTCATGGGTTCTCTCCCACAGCCACAAATCTAATTTCACGAGCAGTTAAATCAATCATATCCCTATATGCATGAGAGAGAGAGAGAGAGAGAGAGAGAGAGAGTGGGGTGGTGTATGTGAGATTATGGATATGACAAACCTAAATCATGAACCAAATCAACAGTCTTAAGCTCACAGTTGTCTTGTAAAATGGCTGCTTTAAGTATGTGGGTTTCATTGGTAGATGACAATAAGAATAAGAACGTAGATTCTCCGTTTTCTTAAACATTTTCTAATTCTTAACTTGTACATTACCATATAAATCAAACACTTTTGTCCAATATAATTCACAAAACAAAAGTTAACCTATAGATTTGTAATTCAAAACTATAATAAACCTCTAACTTTTGATGGATCTGGCTGAGTAGATGTTGGTAATTGTAAACCCACGTTTGGCGCAGAGTCTTCGGATAAATAGATTAGGATATTGGATGAAACATTTATCATGTGATTGGCAATGCAAAATTATATCTTACGGGAACTGAGTTTTGCACTATTTTTGTTATTTTTGACATTTGAATTGAACAAGTCAAAAGAGAATTTGTGGATAAAAAAATAAACAAGAGTGCGAAAATGATTTTCTATCTTTATTTTTAACTAAGTTGGAACTGGTTTGGTCAGGTGATTTCGAGTAATTAAGCAACAGTTTTTCTCTCCTGCGCATCACCCACATGCGCATAGATTGCTCATCAACTTAATTAAATCTCAGCCTTCTATTTTTTCAAGTGAAAACAACTAACTGTGATTTGACTAAGTTGATGCGCAACCCATGCGCAGGAGAGAAACTCTGCATTGTGCTATGCTATATTGCTGCAGTGCCGTATTCCTTTCCCCAACAATGCCGTATAACCAATAAACCCAAAGGCAAACAGAGATAGAAGGCCCAAAAGTAGAGGCACCAGAGATGTAGAAGGCCTAGCCCATATTGGTGTGTCTCAAATATTACATATCAACAAATTATATAATATTTTGGAAAGAAAAATTACCTTGTTTATACTCATTGTTGGGGCCCAAAAAACGCACATGCAAAATCAATTACATCTCAAAGTTTGATTGTCGTAAAAACACCTCCAACCAAGCTAAAATACATGCAAAGGTGCAAGATCGAGAAGAAAAGATATTTACAATCATGGCATAAATTGGCGACTTCATGAATCAATGGCTCCAAGTTCCAAAAGAAACGCTACTAGGAATGACAATGCCTTGGCGAGTCTGCTTTCCGGTTGAACGAGTCCCAACGCGAAGAACAACATTGGGAAAGCTAGGAAAAGTTGGATGAGTACGCCATGCCATATATCATATCTGCCATTCACGATATGGGAGAAGCCCAAAAAGAAATCGTAGCATCTGTGAAAGAATTGAAAAACTCAATCCCAATGTCAAGCGAAAAGATGAGTGATAAGCACTGCACACATACAGAAAATATTCCCAAGAAGAATTGACCATTGTTGTGGGGAAGGTTATGAGAAAGGACCATCCTTCGTCACTTAGGAAGATGTCACTCCCTTGTTGGAGAAAGAGTTGCATGTTTTTGAGCCACCATACCCTAAGGGTTATCAAATCTTCAACTTTGTCCTCTTTGATGGAAGGAAGGGCAACCTAAATGAGCTTATAAGTCATTTCATTGATGCTTTGGGTCCTCATGGCCGCAATTATAACCCCTGTCTTAAGGAGTTCTCGAAAAGTCTCTTTGACCGTGCCTACACTTGGTATACTACACACTCGTCGGGATCCATTCGAACTTGGGAAGAGTTGACAAGTTCTTCCAACATGAAGATAGGGACACCACAACCCAACTCAACAACACACACCCAAAGCATGAGAAAGACCCTATGACTTTTGTCAAATGCTTCCGGGACTTTGCCCTTGACTGCTACGATGAAAAAGATGAGGAGATATTTATGAAAATTTACATCAACAACATTGTCGTAAATTACAAAGTGTTTTTGAAGAACGTTGGTATTAGCCAATTCTCTAGGATCTTAGAAGTAGTGAGGAATATCAGAATGTTGGTCAAGTTTTCCATGGGAAGGTCCTAGAAAGGTGAAAAGAATAAAGCTCACCAAGCCTTGGTTGTGGACGACAGGTTCGACTACAATCAGCAAAAGAGTAAGAAAAATAACGAAAATAAGGAAACCTATCCTCCACTATCATGCAGTGACGAGGAATTCCATGCTATTCTTGACACCATGTTCACAAACAGAGTCATCAAGCCACCCAAACTTTCCAGAGTTCCTTCTAGGGAAGATAGGAAAGACCCCAAATATTTTCCATACCATCAACATGTGGGACACCCTTCCATTGCATGTCAAACCTTGAGAATGATCCTCCATGCAAAAATCTGTGAGAGAACACTAAAGTTACCATGTAAGAAGCAAGCCATCGATACTGACCTTTTGCTGAAACGCCAAGAGAAAGAGGTGGTAATTGGGATAACATGCTTTAAGGATAATGATGTTTATCGTCCATGGAATAATGGCGCAAGCCACATGAGGCCATTTGAGAGCCTTATAGGAATAGGGAAAAAGCTTATTGGTGCAAGTACTCCTAGCCCTAGAGTAACGACACGCCATTCCCCAAGCCGAAGGATGAGAGACGAAGGAAAGAACCCTATGAACTTTGACCTAGTTTTTATGACAAGGTCTTTGGCATCGAAATGCTTGAAGAATACGCTGCAAGAACCTAAGGAGGACAACAAAACAACCAAAAAATGGCAGTTGTGACTTTGCACATCCTTTCTGACGCGAAAACTGATACGGTCGAGTGTTACCTTGCCCATAACCAAAGACCTACCACACTATAAGTCATCCAAAGGAACCCAAACCTAATAGTATGCAAGAAGACTTTGTTGATCCAAGGTGGAAAACAACAAAGGAAAAAGAAATGAAGTCCTTCAACAAAAATGAGATGGGTTTACAAGATGCAATATTATTCTGATGGGTTTAACCTAGGTAAAAAATCTAATTGTGCCGATGGGTTTACACGGTGCAATATAATGCTGATGGATTGATCGAAAGATACAAAGCAAGACTTATGGAAAAATGGATATACTCAGACATATGAAATTGATTATGACGAGTCATTAGCTCCAATAACAAAACTTAATACCGACAGAGTTCTCGTCACTGGCAGCAAATCTTGATTGACTATTACACTAGTTTGATGTAAAGATTGCATTTCTGTATGGAGAAATAACTGAAGAAGTGTACTTAGAGCTCCTACCTATTTCGAACAGGGCTCTACCTATTTTGAACAAGCCGACTGAACATTGGAATAAAGTTCGTTAATTGAAGAAATCATTGTATGGTCTCAAACAGTCGCCAAAAGCATGGTTTAGGCGATTCACAAATTCTATGAGAACCTTCGGTTACAAACAAAGTAATTACGATCATACTTTGTTCCTAAAGAAGAAGATATGTAAGATTACGGTACATTGTCTATGTGGATGATATAGTAGTAATTGGTGATGATCTTGAGGATCAACAAACATTGCAAAGTTGTTTGGCACGCGAATTTGAGATGAAAGATCTTAGTCCACTAAAGTATTTATTAGGTATTGAAATGGCCCGTTCGAAGAATGGTTTCTTTCTATTATAGATGAAATATGCTCTTGATTTATTACATAAGGTTGGAATATCAGCCTGTCAGCCAGTTGATATGCCATTGGAATAAGGTTAAATTTGTGGTATGATTTGGTTGGTAGGAAGATTGATGTATCTGGTGCGTACGCTGCTAGACTTGGCTTATGCTTTAAGTGCGGTAAGCTAGTTTATACACGATCATAGGAAGCAACTTATGGATGCATTGATGCGAATTTTATGATATGCGTCAACTCAGGTAAATTGGTTTTTCTCTCAAAGATTATTTGGAGGTTGAAGCGTATACAAATGTAGATTAGGTAGGATCGATTGAGGACATGTGATCAACATCAGGTTACTTCATATTTGTGGCACGTAATCTGGTTACTTGGAGAAGTAAGAAACAAAATCTTATTGCTTGCTTAAGTGCCGAAGCAGAGTATAAAGGAGTTACTTTGGGAACTTCTGAAATGCTTTGGTTATGAAATTTCTTGAGGGATTTGGGATATGTGATCCGAAAAAGGACATGAAGTTGTATTGTGATAGTAAGGCTGCATGTGAGATTGCTGCTAATCTAGTTCATTATGATCGAACAAAGCATGTGGAAGTAAATAGATCCTTAACAAGGAGAGAAGCTAGATAGAAAGATTATTGAGATACCAGAAGTCAAGTTGGAAGATTAGTTTGCTATTGTCTTAAGAAAAATAATGTTGAATAGAATATTTGCAAAACTTGTGGGCAAGTTGGGCATGTTCGATATTTATGCATCAACTGGAGCGGAAGCATTATAATAAATGTAAATATTGTAATTGATTGTATTGAAGATCTATTTCTTAATATAGGTTTCCTAGATTAATTGTGATTAGGGTTGTACAATTTTATATATTTCCTCTGTGTATGAAAAATAATATTGAAGTATTCACGAATTCTAACTGCTTTTTGAGATCTAAGGAACTACGAAATAACTAGGTAAGAGTTAGATATCAATACAAGCTATAGTAGGGAGGTGAAAATCGAACCTATGACATAATATACAATAATAACATTTTAACCACTTTAACTATATGTCTCTTATAGTTTAGAATACTAAAAAAATAATATCGTGGCGCAATTTTTACACACAATTATATGGATGTACAATTGAAGTGCATGTATTATTTTATAAAAGCTAAGAATCAATTTTTATAAATCAAAACATTAGGATCCAGTCCTAATCACAATTGTATATCCCAAAACATTATGATCCAGTCCCTAATCACCAATGTTCATAGATTAAAATCTTATTAGTTTTCAGGTTTTGATCAAAGTCCATTGACTTCTTGACTTTATACACCTCATCATTTTACTATTAAAATACTTCCATGTCATCTTTTTAATTTTTTTTACAACAAATTTTAATTTATAATTTCTCCCACATTATCACATTTGTAATTGAAAATCCCAAAATTCTCTCACTCAAATTTATGCTTATATTCAAATTCAACATTATTATATTGAGTATGTATCTTCAAATTTAAATTTCGCCAAAAAAATTTCAAACTTATTTTTTCTTCATGACCATCATATTGCAAAATCGTAACAAATGAACATTATATTGCTCTAAATGCAATTTTGATTTCATTGGCTACATTCTCTTCTCTTGTTCCTTAATCCATGTACCCAACTTTTGTTCTATACTACCATTGTAATTTCTCATCTAAATTTTTTGGTACCCATATATGTATAACTTTTTCCTATAAGATTTATATAGTATGTACCCTTAAGTAATTTGGTCTTATTGTCACATCCCAACTTAGGCCCCCACCACATCCCAAGCTCGACTCCACTGTAGCACGATATTATCCACTTTGGGCCCCGACACGCCCTCACGGTTTTGTTTTTGGGAACTCACACGAGAACTTTCTAGTGGGTCACCCATCCTGGGATAGCTCTCGCGCGAACTCGCTTAACTTCGGAGTTCCGATGGAACTCGAAGCCAGTGAGCTCCCAAAAATCCTCGTGCTAGATAGAGATAGGAATATACATATAAGGCTTACAAGATCCACTCCCCTGGGTGATGTGAGATGTAACAATCCACCCCCCTTAGGGGCCTGACGTCCTCGTTGGCACAAATCCGACCAGGGATTGACTCTGATACCAAATTGTCACATCCCGACCCGGGCCCGCACCATATCCCGGGCTCGACTCCACCGTAGCACGATATTGTCCACTTTGAGCCCCGACCATGCCCTCACGACTTTGTTTCTGGAAACTCACACGAGAACTTCCCAGTGGGTCACCCATCTTGGGATTGCTCTCGCGCGAATTCGCTTAACTTCGGAGTTCTGATGGAACCCGAAGCCAGTGAGCTCCCAAAAGGCCTCGTGCTAGGTAGAGATGAGAATATACATATAAGGCTTACAAAATCTACTCCCCTGGGCGATGTGGGATGTAACATTATGGTTTGCTTCCATTTTGCTATCCTTTAATCATTGTTTACATTAAGAATTTATATGGGTACATTGTTTTTCTTCTTGTTGTCACATATGGGTTTTAATGATGAAATTGTATATAGATACATTCTTGTGAATTACCATAATTGTACATGGGTACATTCTTATGGGAACATTTATCTTTTATCATGACATTCAATAAAAAAACAATTCTTTTCTAAGGGTGGAGTTTGTTGTTTAATCCCATAAACGTTAAAGTTCAAATCTTATGAGATTTTATATCCCATAAATGTGTTAATTTATTTTATTTAATTGCTTTAAATGTTCGGACAAAAGAATTTTCTTTAAAGATGTACATGTTACAATATTTAATATAATATTTAATTTAAAATATAAAATAGTTGACATGGAAATCGATTAGTGCTAATATGTTGATGTGTACAAAGTCAAAGGACTTTAATCAAAATCTAAAAACTAATAGGATTTCCATTAATGTAAACTAGTGATTAAAGACCATATCCAAAGTATCCCATATTATTATTATTGTCATATTCTAGTATCATTATTTTTTTTTATAGAAATGAAATGCCGACTTTTAATCTTTTACACATTTATAAGAAGGTACAACACTGTGTACCGATCGATCATTTTCAAACGAAAATTAAGCATATACTAAAAAAGTAACACCATTGTGCATGCTTGGTCTCTGAAAAAAAAAAAGTAACACTAAAAATCTATGCAACCAAAAAAGTAATACTAAAAATCTATGAATCCACTCCACAACAAGCCATTTTAGCTAGTGCATAATTGAAATAAAAACTCTACTTTTCGGATCATTTTGAAAAAGAAATTATTTATTCAAAAGAAATACAAACCCAACTCTCTTCTCTTCCATCACCTCCGGATCCACCTTTAAATACACCTCCCCCCCTCTTCGTTTAGAACTCGCACCCAACAACTCTTTCTAATTCTCTCTCTCTCTCTCTCTCTCTCTCTCTCAATTGAGAAAATAAAATTAAAGCCTAAAATATGGAACAAAATAATCTACCAATTGCCAAGAGAATATGGAGTATAGTACGTGTAGCTTTCTTCATGATAAGAAAGGGCATTTCAAAGCGAAAGCTCCTACTGGACTTCAACATGATGATGAAGCGTGGCAAGCTCGCCAGCAAAACCTTAAGCAATCTCATGTTCCACAAGCACCACCACAGCCACAGCCACCCCTACTACAGCGGGGCCACCTCCTCTGCCGCCCAACGAGAGTACGAGTTCAGCTGCAGCAACACCCCCAACTACCCTTTTCACCTCATGGGCAAGCGCTGCCACGACAACAACCACCACAACCTCTTCAAGTGTACTCACGCGCTGCAGACTCAGGATGATGAGATGGCGATCGCAGGTGCCGTCACGGCGGTTTTGGAGATGTTGAACAATGAAGCAGTGACTGTGGAGGCGGCGGCATACGTGGCAACATCACCGGTGCTTCCCGGGTTTGGGAAGAGCCCTATGGTCCACCAGCCGAGGATAACGGACTCACCGTTTCCGGTGAGGGAGGCTGATGAGGAAAGCCACGTAGACAAAGCGGCGGAGGAGTTTATAGAGAAGTTCTATAAGAATTTGTGGCAACAGAGGAGAATGCATGACGAATGAGTTTGGCATCATGCTTATATAACATACTTTGAAGATTAATGTGATGTGCACTTGATGTTCAATTTGGCAAGTTATGATCGTTTTAGTACGTCTTATTGTCGTTGAGTTTTGATAAACAATAAAAGAGAACTATCTTTTTAGTACATTATTGTTGTTGAGAGTTGATAAACAATAAAAGAGAACTAGCTTAATTAGTTAGTTTTAGTAGTTGTGTTAAACTGCAGTTGTTTTTTCTTAATTGATCAGTTTTCAAGTCCTTGATTGATTTCTATGTTCTTGAAGAAATTGCATAAGAAAACACACACAAAAAAATGTTGGTCATTCCAAATTTTTAGGCTTTTACCCTTATGTGTTTTCTTCTTTAATATTAACCTTCAAATCGAATATATATTTTTTGTAAAAAGAAAAATCATAAACAGATTCTAACCTTCCAGATATATGTTCGTACAACAGACATGTCATATTGTATATCACCAAAACATTCGATGCAAAAAAAAAAAAAAAAAAGTGCATAAATCCCACATGAACTTGTTGATTTTTTTTCATGTATAAAAAAATTACATTGTCGCAGTGTTACGAGTAATAATTGACAATTTGATAGAAAAAGAAGAAGTAATAATTGACAATCTACAACAATGCACGCATAACTTAATAAAAACGTTCTATATAATTTGTATATTCCAATAATCTTTTATGAATTTGACTCTGAGAACGCTTGTAATCATTTGAATCTTTGTTTCCAACTCATGTATAACCTCCAATTTACAAGGACCATTTTGGGGAACATCAAGGAACCTGATATTATAATTTTTATTGAAAGATTTATATTCTCACACACCTTAAATCATTTCTTCTACATTTTTTTTAATTTTTTAATATTTTCTACACACCATTAACACTTGATAGAAAAATATTAAAAAAATTAAAAAGATGTGTGAGAAGTAATTTGGGATGTGTGACTACAATCTCCCTTTTTATTCCTTTTTTCCGATGTTAAAATTTAAATTTAAAAGTTCAAAACGGCTTTTACAGCTACAGTACCACTTCCACTCCATCCTGTTGTGATTCCACTACGTTAAAGTGAAACCAATATAGTAGCAAAATACTGGCCCCTACCTAAAAAATATAATCTCCTTTTTATATATTTTTTCTTCTTCTCTCTTTTCCCTTTATTTTCATCAATTTTTATAAGAAACTAGCTGCATTGGGTTGGTAATTGGCTACTTTTGCAGTCACATACCCAAATACAAATGAAAAGAACTATTGATGCATGTTAGGGATTCTTAAGGGGCCGTCTTTACCAGATAGCTAAGACCTGCTATGAAGACGATGATCATGACCACAACAATACTTGATTTTTTAAGGACGGAAAAATAGAGTTGAAACCGTGGGTGAAAATTTGATCCTATTCCAGCGCATCGGATTGTGTAGGTGCATGAAAGCTTTAGGGACTGATTAATTTATTGGGTAAACCAAGTAATTACAAAATTAAAGGTTTTGCTTGGGATGTATAAAAGTAGTAAAAAGTTAAGTTCATACATAAGAGTACGTAAATTAATTAAAGTTAAATTCATAAACAAGATCAACGTTAGGCTGTTAATTTGTTTCCGAGGTTTTAGGTATATATAACAGAATAGATATTGATTTATCAACCGAGATTGCTTTGTAGTATTTTTAGCACATTGTAGGATTTTTTGTGTTCCGTTAGACTCGTTATTTATTATGCATGCATTCATAATGGATCCATTTTTTGTGATTTCTTCTTCATCCTTTGAATTCTTTATTCTCAGTACAACATTCATCTTCAACTATAATATTATGCATGCATTCATAATGGATCTATTTTAAGGAGAAAAATGAACAAAGATAATAAGATGAAGAACTTGAAGGAAATTATCCAAAAAAACTCTCCCTTCACATACATAAAAAACCATGGGCATGCATTATTTTCTTAATCAGTCTCATAGAACAAAAGTTACCAATCCAAGCCAAAAGTGCAATACAAACCAGTTTAATTAATTTGGGCAAAGCTAATTTGTGTTTCAATCCAAAAGTGAACGTTCATGTTGATCCCAATAGTAGACGTGAAAGTGAGATGCATACATTGTTATTTCTTGCGGGCAAAGATGTTTGTGTTTGTAATGAATTTGTGCGCACACGTGCTACTTGCAAATTCCATATAATGATATGTGCGCACATGTGTTACTTGCAGATTCCATATAATGATAGGTGTCATCAATCTAAACTCTCTTATAAAGCCAAAATTTTAGGTGAAAATAAGAATCGAGGCATATTGCTAGACAGATGTCACTTTTTGAACTCATCTTTGGTCAAGATTGACATGCTTCTCGTGTAATCTGAATCGCAGATTGAGAGTTATCAAGGATTATTTAGTGAAAACAACCCATTTATTATATAAATAAAGGTTTATTGAACACATACTTACTCAAGCACGCATACTTAGCTACTAAGAGATATTTTCTTTTTCTTTCCTTAATATATTATGAAAGCATTGTCCCTCGCAAGTCGCAAATGATATGACGAAAAAACTTCCATAATTCCAATTGCATTACAATGGATTTGTAGATGGAAGATTTTAGCTTCTATTTTTAGTTTTTTTTTTTCATTATTTTTTAGATCCTACAAGATTTTAGCTATTCCGTTGGGGTATGTGGTGACTGATATTCGTTATTTTATATCCATAATTCCTCGAACAAAGTCATCCGTGACTCTCATGGGGATGCCCCATAGTCTCCACCAACAATAATTGGTGGCGACGGAGTAACCCTTGGTTACAATTAGCCTAGGTTTTCAGCAAATTTTATAACCCGAAGGGCTACTTTAGTACACATGTGCGGAAGAGTGGCAAGATGACGTAAGAATATATAATCCAATTTACATGCATGGTTAGCGGAATGTTGGATTCCATTTAATCTTATTAAATTAATCCACGTGATCTAGGTTAATCGACATGCTTGATTTCACAATACGTAAGAAATCCACTCTAGATCTAAAGATCCTTTAGGCTTATGTATAAAACAACTCCATAACCCAGTAGGATTACAATTTAATCCTCCACCGCACATGCGTGCCGCATGCCTTAGGAGGCACTTCCTTTTGGCTTGCCACACACCCCCTTTGTCACTGAACTTTGGTTCGGTTCGCTCCTATTTTATTTATTTATTTATTCTAGTCTTTCCTTTTGGATTGTGCTTGCTTATTTTATTGTAGTTCAAATAACTTATGATAGACATAAGGCTCAAACCAATATTTTTTTTTAACAAACGATATTATCTACACTAAAGAGGTGGGGGAATCGGGTAAGTTTCACAATGGGTTTAACAATAATGTATCACCTTTGGCGAGAATCAAGCATGAAGAGGAATACTACTAGACCGTAGTACTAAGTGGCAAGGTCTAAACCAATTAATCAAATATAAAACAAAACATTTAATATAAACAATTTATATTAAATTCATCATTCACCAATTTTATCCTTCAATATCGTTCTATTGTGTGTGACCTTGTAAGTTCTCACTAAAGCTGGCAGTGAATAATTTGATTAATAAAATTTTCTAGTTTTATACAATTAGAAACCATTCTAATTTAACCTGTTGGAATATCCACAAACTGAATAGTAACATCTAGCAATGGCTTTCAGCTACCCAGATTAATCAAAAATATTTTTATGCAATGCATGTTTAGAACCTTAGTACAGTTACAATGCAATTCGGTTCCTCAGTCTACTTTATTCAAATCATATATTTTTGAACATGAAAAATTTGTCAAACTCTAAGCATAAATATGGTCACCCTATTGTATCTCATGTACATTGCTTTGGCCAAAGAAATGTAGAGATAGATCGTCAAGGGGGTACTAGGATACCAACCTTCATGATTACCTAGAAGGTGACATATTACTTATTGTGCATTCATGTACCTTCATGTTGATGCACATGATCCAGAACATCACACTATAGGGCTCCGCTATTGTTTGAGAGCTTCGAGGCAAGACCAAAGACCATATTCATAAACACAAGATAATTAGTTGCATCCATAACCAAGAAGTGTGGTACAATTAACAAGTAGGTAATTTGTCATCTGACAATTCTATGGTTGGTCAATGTTCAATGAGCTTGATCTTATAGATGAGCACCATTATATCTATTCTATGTCTATACATGCTTAATCTGAGATTCACTACTGAATACGACATAAATCGACTTCTGCGGATGTTCGATAGTTTTTTCAATCATCTTATGGCTAGGAACATAATTTAGAACTTAATATCTATAAGGTAGGTATCTCAGGATTGGAACATCTTTGGAATCGCGTCCTTACTACTTTAAGTTATTCCTTGGTCTCATCCTAATTAACAACGAACCTTCCTAATCCGCTATTAGGTCACATGCTCGATTGACGGATGTTCTCACTTGCCGTTTGTTGTCGATGACTCGACATTGGGCTGCCATGTCAATTGTTTTTTGGACATACTCCAGTACGTTCACCTTGCCCCATTCCAGGTTTGAGGATTTTAATAATCGCAACGTGTCACCAAGAAGGGGTTTTTTTCTTAGCCTAAATTACGTGTTCTTCCTTGGTGAATCATAAACAAAAGTTTGTTAGGGACTTGGTCACTTGAACGTGGATCAAAAGCTCATTTGGAATCCTTTTGACATGTGCCCTATATGCATCGGACCTAAGCAGTTTCGATTGGACTACATTTAGCTTGACTTCGGTAAGACACTTCAGCGTATTAGTGCTCCGCTGGAATAAAATTTCTCATGAGGATTTCCTAGTCTAGATGCCTCATTCGGACCTGCTTTAGGCACGAGATCGCCGCATAATATACTTGACTTAGTATGCTGGTCCGGTATTTAAGTAATCGCACTTGGGGCCGAGCCCAGGTTTAAATGTTATAACCTACAACCTTAAGGTTGCATAAACTTTCCAGGAGCCTAATGGTGCATTGGAAGCTTCTCGATCAGGAGGCCATGTCCCTATGTCTGTAGTCCACCTTACATAACCTCGTTTATTACGGCTTGAGTTTCTCAAGCTACCAACCAAACTATGAAGTGGGCTATAAGAGACTCCTCTAACCCTAATACTTTAAATTTTTAAACTTTCACTATTGCAAAGTTTCAAAGTTGTGTCATATTTTGGTATAATGCGGAATTCCCTGTACTGCAAAAAAG